TGCTGGGTTCAGTTAAGGTGGCGTGTTGTAGGCTGTTTTTGCATGCTTAAGCTTGCGTCCAAATTTTTTTGGGGCTGGTTTTCCACTGTTACTTATCTTGTATCCTTATGGGCCTTTCCATTATGGGTAGTATCCATCGCTACTAACTACCATCATTCCTCCACTTTCAGTAACACACCATGGCTCACGGCAATGATCTGGTTCATAAGAACCACTTCCGCAAGAAGTGGCAATTCATGGTCAGGACATGGTTTAATCAACCTGCTAGAAAGCATCGTCGCCGGGAAGCTCGCAAGGCCAAAGCCAAGCGCATCGCTCCTAAGCCTGCTTGCGGACCACTGAGACCTATCGTTAATTGCCCCACTTTGCGCTACAATATGCGGGTTCGAATGGGTCGGGGTTTCACCTTGGAGGAACTTCGAGCTGCCGGTCTAAGTCGTCCAATTGCTCGCTCCATCGGCATCGCAGTTGACCATCGGCGTCGCAACTGTTCTGTGGAGGGTCTCCAGCGTAACGTTGCTCGCCTTCGTAAATATATGTCGAGGATTATTCTCTTTAATAAGGCCAAGATCTTGCCTGTGCCTTGTCATGAAGGTGAGAAGGGTAAGGTAAAGCAGCGCAGTGCACTTCCATCAATTCGGCAAAAGTGTGTCTTCGAAAAGTCTCGGAAGATTACCGATGCAGACCGCAGATATTCGGCTTTCCATGCTATTCGCCAGCATCGTGCGAATATGCGCTTGGCTGGCAAGCGTATGAAAGCGCGGATGGCCAAAGCCAGCGATTAATGTATATTAGTAATATCTGTGCAGTAAATTTTCTCCTGGACTATTGGTAGTTTATAATGTGTTAAGTGTACGTTGCTGTTGCTAGATTTACTGGTGTTCCGAGATCCTGGTGAAGTTGTCGGGTGTAAACTGTTTACTATTGTTCCTTCAGTTCCTATTTAATCGCTTCGATATGTCACTGTTACGAATCGGTCGTTACTACTGGCTTGTTGTTGGTCGCCCGAGAATTCGAGTGATGTCGTATTTAGAGCTTTGGGTAACCTCAGATGTGGGTTTTGTGACCTCGGGTCGATTGTCAGTGGTTACTCTAATTTGGATCAGACTCACATAGCCGTCTCGAGATCACTTGGTACTGCGCGCGGTTTGGTTGCTTAGGCTCACGTCGTGTTGACTAGCGTTGAGTACTTTCTTACTTTGTCTTCCTCCGGGTTATACGGTTGGGCTTAATGCAGTTCAGGAGGATTGGCTGGGCTCGGTTGTGTAGTTGGGTAGTAGGTAGTTAATGCCAAACTGGTGATTTTCGGATGTTTTGTGTAGAAACTGGAATTATGCGTGCTATCTTTGCTGTAAATTACGATGGTTTGTTTGTCCGCTGCCGACACGCATCCTCTGGGCAGAATTCTTTGCGTCCCGTATAAATAAAAAATGACGTAGTATTTGGGTGAATATTTGCTTCTTCCCTGTGGGAGGTAGGCCAACGCAAAGCACTCGGCATAAATCAGCAAACCAAAGAGTCAGCGATCGTAGTGTTCACTCAGCAGCCTGGATTTGATTAGACTATGCGTTGTTCTATCATCGCTTTAGCTGTATTCTCGGCAGCACCAGAAATTTTGACGGTACTCGTTCATTATATGTCTCTCCAAAGCACTTTAGCACAGAGCGAATGCAATACGAAATTAGAGTTATAGCGATAAATTATCTACTGA